AAAGGATTTCAGCGAGAAGAAGGAGTCGACTACACTCGAAATCTTTGCTCCGGTTGTAAAGCTCAATACTATCGGGACTCGTGTTAAGTATTGTGGCTAGTGAGGAGCTCTACCTAGAGCAATTAGATGTGAAGACCGCATTTCTTCATGGAGATTTAGATGAGGAGATCTACATGCACCAGCTGAAGGTTTTTCGAAGGAAAGAAGAACTTGGTGTGCAGATTGAAAAAGAGCTTGTATGGCACGAAACAAGCTCCAAGACAGTGGTATAAGAAGTTCGAAAGCTTCATGCACAAGGAGAGTTTCCGAAGTGCAACGCCGATCAACGTTGTTTCTTCAAAAGGTATAAGTCCGAGTTATATCATTTTGCTACTTTATGTTGATGATATGCTAGTAGCGAGGTTCGAGATATGAATGAGATCATAAACTTAAAGAAGCGGTTGTCAAAAGAATTTGACATGAAGGACTTAGGCCCAGCAAAGAAGATTCTTGGAATGCAAATCACGAGAGATAAGCAAAAAGGAGTTTTGCGGTTATCTCAAGCGGAGTACATCAACCGTGTTTTGCGAGAGATTCAACATGGACAATGCCAAACCAGTCAATACACCTTTGGCTTGCCATTTTCGTCTATCTAAGGATCGGTCTCCTCAAACGAAGGAAGAAGAAGAGTTAATGGCTAAGATTCCGTATGCTTCGGCCATTGGAAGTTTGATGTACGCGATGGTGCATACGAGGCCGGACATTGGCCATGCGGTGGGAGTTGTAAGCGATTCATGTCAAATCCAGGAAAAGCTCATTGGGAAGCGAGTCAAATGGATTCCGAGGTATCTACGAGGCACAACGAGAAAAATGTCCGTATTTTAGAAAAGGAGATCTAAAATTGCGAGGCTACGTAGATGCGGACTTTGGAGGTGAAGTTGATCACCGAAGAAGCACCACTGGGTATGTGTTTACTTGTTGGAACTACGATTGTTAGTTGGATGTCACGGATACGGAAGATTGTTACTTTATCCACTACGGAGGTCGAGTATGTAGCGGTGATGAAGCGAGTAAAGAATTGATATGGCTTCAAGGATTGTTGGCGAGTTGGGATTCATTCAAGAAAGGAGTGTTTTGCACGGTGATAGTCGAGTGCAATACATCCGGCAAAAAATTCAGCATTTCACTCCGGAACCAAACACATCGACATACGTTATCATTTCATCAGATCTCTACTTGAGGATGAGATGCTAACATTGAAGAAAATTGTGGGAAGTAAGAACCCAGCGAGATATGCTAACAAAGGTGGTGACTATTGACAAAGCGAAGTTATGCTCAACTTCAGTTAGCGTACAAGGATAACAGACAAGAGAAGACTACTATTGATCAAGGTGTGAGGACAAATTGAAATCGGTCCTCAAGTGGGAGATTGTTGGTCAAAGAAAGTGGGCAAGGGTGGCTGCAATTGGTCAAAGAAAGTGGGCAAGGGTGGCTGCCAAATTTTTTATGTAACCATGAGGTGCTCATGGGACATATTTTAATGTAATGCATAGTGCCAATTTTTTGCTATAAATTGGTCTTCTTCCTACAAGCAAGAGCATCCCATCCCACACAAAATACTACTTCTCTTAGAGAAGAAAGAGTGGCACCAGTGAGAGGCAGAAAAACTAGAGAGTTTTAGTTTAGCTTCTGGGTGTAATTGGGTTGTGAGTTGTGAGTGTTTTGGGAGTGTTTTGTAAACACTTGTGTATTTTTCTTTTCTCCTAGTAAGAGATCTGTAGTAGTCCGGAGACGTAGGCATTATTGGCCGAACTCCGTTATCAACTTGTGTGTGCAATTATTCCGCTTTTATTTCACTTTCACAGATCTGACCATATGGGAAGATTCCGCATATTTTTCCCAACATATACTCTTTCACTTTAATAAAGATTTGTTATCGCATTTTCTCGTATTGAGATAATGTTTTAACACACCACCTGATTTTGACGACGATTGTTAATAAAATAATAAAATCTTAAAAGAGTTAAAAAATGGAGAAGAGAAAATAATTCTTGGAAAACAAAAGAAAGGTGTGTGAAGCGACCAAATCTACAAACTTCACAGTTCACACAGAATAAAGAAAGCAATCCCAGCTGGAATTCAGAGTAAAGTTGTACCAATCTCAACTTAGACCCTTGAAATTAATCATGAGCTCCATTTAACATAAAACCATACATGCATGTTGGAATTCTGAACATGGATGACTAACCTGTTTCCTATTCAGCAAAATCTATAACCCTCATGCACATTAAAATAATCACCTCAAAATATTTCGTCTAGAACACAGAATCTAACATGGGGATGCAAATGCATAATTTATTTGACATGCCAGCCAAAAAACCTTGTGTATCTCACATGGTATTTATAAATTAGTGTGCCTCCTAATGTTCTGAGACTATTTTAATCTTCAAAAGAATCCAATAAATTTGTTACAAACATCCGTCTGATTCGCATTGGTTATATTGGTCGGTGTGGGGACCCCCCCCCCCCCCTCCATCACACTTATTCTTTGCATCTCTCTCTATCTCTCCTCTCAGTTCCAGTCAGGAATCCACGTACTGCCCATGCACTTTCATCCAAATCTTGCTCTTGTTCTCATTCTTTCATAAATAATACCAAACCCTCTTCCATTCACTAACCAATTTATCTCACAAACCCTCTTCTTTCATCCCATCATTATGTTACAACAAAGCTTACACAAAATAGGAACAAGATGATCAAAGGAAGAGAATATGTGCTTAATATACACTGCAATCATCTCTCTGTTTACTTTGGTTTATATCATTTCCATATATCAATGGCTTGCCACTCTATTATATTATTACACTAATCCATCAATATAAACATTTATTAATATTAGAATGAATCATCAATCTAATGAAAAAAAGAGCCACACTTTGTTGCAGGTGACCTTTGTAAAATAGTAATGTAAGCTATATCTGCAGTTCATTCTACATGAATTGTCTTGTGCTATATGAGACACACTCATGGTTTAGTGAACAACACAAATACACACTTTAGTTATTATATAATTTAATGATAATGGTTGAAAGTTTCACATCAGGTATGAGTCCATTGAGTAATGAAAAAAATTCCATTCCATCTAATTATTTCTTTTCTTGGAATGTCTCTATATGCCATCTCGAGATATTCCTAATCTCTTTTACTACAAAGGTGGAAAGTGATTTGATTGACCTTTCTGGGATAAAAAAATTTCTCAACACTGAAGATCCAATGATTATGGTCTATTAATATTTGGTGGAACTATTGTAGATGTATGTCAGCTTTCCCCTATTTTGCTCCTCGAGATTAATAGAGGGGAAGAAGATAGAGAATATAAGTCAAATAGAGTGTTAGATATGTTTCCACCCAGCTTCAATTCCAATATTCTATTTACTTTTTCATTTATTAATTTCATGACCCAGCAGCTACTTTGTTTCTCTTTCTGGCAACACATTAAGGATGAAAAGCAATGTTTTCCAGTAAACTTTATTTCCTAATTGTGACCCTCATATAATTAATAGTAAAAATGTTAAAATGTATAAATATAGCACTTCTCATTTTTTAATACGATTATTAAAAAAGTCAAATGCCTTGCATTTTTTTTTTTACATTCTATGAAAAATATGACAACACTTTCTTTCAATATGGAAAGGTTGATCAGGAATTAAAATATTATATTTTGAATTAATCAGGAAAGAAGATTTTATATAGAGAGGAAGTGTAGGTTGAATTTTTTTGGGTGTAAAAATAGAACTATATATGTTGAGAACAATTATCATCTTGCAACCAACCATAAGCTGGTTTTATAAAATTATTTGGGTCACAGCTAGTGAGAAAGAGAAAGAGAAAGAAAATCTCACATAGGGGCACAAAAGTGTTAAATAAACATAAAATAACTTAGATATTATTAGTCTTTGGTAAATGTTAACCTAAAATCATATCTATTACAATAGGCGAGGTTAAAAAAATTTTGATATCATATTAGATTTTAATCTAAAATCAATTAGCACTAAGCAAAATATCAATAAATATATAATTCTTTAATCTTAAAGAATTGAAGTAAGTTATATTTAAAAAATTGAGATAAATGATGTGAAATGTTTTGTGTCAGTCCTCTATGACATTATTCTTTCACTAAAAACCTTATATAAACTAAAATATAATATATAAATGAAAAATATCCTACTAGAATAAAACCCATACCATCATTAATAAGCATTTTATTCATTAAAAACTTTCAATGATTAATTTTATTTTGAAGGTTATTTTGAAGCTTCTCTTGTATATTTTAAAAGTGTTTATGTGAAAATTGAAAATAGTTATAAGAAATATATACAAAATGTCTTAGGGAGTCGCTTACACTATTTTTTTTTATTAAGGTTCCAAAATACATTACGTTAATCATCAATCATACTGATATGCATTCTCAAGAACTGAACGAACCATAGACAGAAGATAAAATTATAGAACTATATTTGTTTGCGCTAAAACGGGGAACAGAAAGTATATATAATTATTTAGTAGATATATATAAATATATGAACTTCTCTAATCACATAGTAGATCTCTAACATTTGAACCACATATAAAAGATTACGAGAATGAAAAAAAAAAAAAAGTAAACAAGGAGGACAAGACAGACAATTTATAGGAGAAACATGTAACGGAAGCTTCCATTGCTGCAATGTTGTTGCTCCCTTCATACTTGTGTTTGCTTTGAAACCTGAAACCAAAAATTCTATAATCTTAATCACAAAAAATATGATTAGTTGAAGAAAGAGCACACCCTCCCAAAACTATTTTTCACATACAAAACAATAACAAAGGGAAAGAGTTTGAGTATGATTTGATTTGGTCTTTATTGTAATTTGAGAAAGATAATCAATCACAAATGTTTACACTCTATTGATTGGATTTTGTTTGCTAAATAGTGTTGGTAGTGATAGCATAGATATAGCATGAAAGGATGAAATGAAATATTACTCAATGAAGTTTTCTACAAGAGTTGTCAATGAGATAGAGAGATATGTTAAGTAAGTTCTAACCAGAAAGTAGCTTTCACCATGCTGCAAACCCTGCATCAAGAAACCAAACTCATTGGTGGGAACTGAAACTCCAGAGGAATGAACTAAGATTACATCTTCACCAAAAGCTGTTTTGATGTCCATTGGTCCTCTTGGAACTTCTGTTGCAACCCCATTGATAAACACTGTGATGAATCCTGAAATTCCCCCAAATCCTATGCCCCAAAGTTAATAGAACAAAAATTAAACATCATATATGCATATTTTCTGGGATTAGCCATCCACCATGCCTAATTCATCAAACAAAATAAGAAAGTTACATTATTTGCTTATTATGCTTAAAAAGAAAATATAAATGGTGATGCAAAGAAGGGTAAGTTATCTCATTAAAAAATCATTAGCTGTCAATTCCTTAAATTTGAAGACCAACTAAAACCGAGAAATATTATTTGTATAAAAAAATTATAATTTCTTAGGAAAAATGAGAGTTGTAGTAAATAACAACTGTAATTGCGGAGAGAGATAAATATTATAAGAAGAATGTAAGATATTGAAAGAACATAACATATATAACCACCTAATTAAAGAAGGTTATATTATTTAACAAAGAGCACGACCACCATCAGTGATTCCGTTCAACAATTATATATACAAAAGAAGGAATCGCCTATTTAACCAAGTTAGAGCAACACAAATTGAAATGTCTAGGGTTTGGAATCCTTGTGAAGAAACCCAGAGAAAAAAAAAATAAGAAAGAAAGAGGGAGAACAGAAACTCCAACACGAAAGCGACCTCGTGATTTTCTGGGATGTACAATTTTTCATGCAGTTGAATCGCAGGAACTGTCACATCATGAGAAAGATTACTACTTTCTTCAATGGTCCCCCACTAAAACTAATCAGCGGAGAAAGAAGAATTTTTACACACTCAAAATGTAATAAACTAATAAAACCTTGAATAAAAGCTTCAGAATCTAGCACCCTTTTTTTTTTTTTTGGCCTAAACCTGGCCTCAAAAAGTGGCTTTTTCCTGACACCAGCTCTGCTGAGAATTTATGTGGAGAAAATTTTCCGCATAATAATGAAACAAGAGAAAAAGAGATTTTTCTTTTTTCTTCAACTCAAAAACTCAACAAAAATCCGAGAGAAAAAGAGCTGTGTTTCATTATTGCGTCACAGGTTTTGACATTAATGATGTAAATGGATAAGGTCCCTTCTTGCTCCTATTAATGCATTTTTACCTGATCTAAAAAATCATAAAAGAAATTAATAGGGAGATGAGCACACAACACTATACAACAAACAAACTAATGATGCGAACAATTACCAGAGTGATAGTTCAAATTGGAAGCTTCAGAAGGGTACAAAACTGATGATGATGCAGCTGAAGTATGATGCTCAATTCCAGGAAAACCCATTTGAGTAGACGGTGAGAAGAAGTCACCCAAGCTTTCTTCACCGCCACCACCACAGGAGGAAGAGGAACCAGAGACATAGGAAGAGTGAGGGAAAGAGGAATTAGCACCACCAAAACCTGTGTTTGAAACAAGAGCAGGGTTGTTTTGATGGTGGTGTTGATATGGAATATTAGTACTTGCACCGCCACCTTGGTTAAGGGTGGCCTGAATCTGGCGTTGGCGGCGGCGGGAGCGAGAGCGGCGATTTTGGAACCAGTAGAAGACATTGGCATCACCAACGGTGCCAAATTTCTCAAGCAGCTTTCTTATTCTGACAGTTTCATCTTTTGGGGGGTTAACCATGCCACTATTGAAGATAGACTCAAGTATGAGGATTTGTTCTGGTTTTGGAGTCCATCTTGACCTCACGGGTTCACTTCTCTCAGAGCCTTGTTGGTTTGGACTATTGGGGTCCTGTTGTTGCTGCTGCTGTTGCCCCTGATGATCTTCCATTCCAATGCACAAGAAATAAAGAAAATGTTTCTGAAGCTGATGATGAAACCTAGGTAAAATAATATAAAGAGATATGTATAAAGTACATGGAATACAGTAACAGTGGTTTTGGAGTTTGGAGGGTTTATATAAAGAGGTGGAGAATGTTTAGCACTAAAATTACCTCACTGCCCTTCATGGCTTCATCTCCCCCATCTTCATGCTTTCCCTCCTTGTTTTAGGCTTAGCATTAAAAGCATGTCAAAAAGTCCACCGTATTCTAGATGCCTTCCATTCCTCTCTCCTTCTCATCCCATTCTGTACGAAATCAATGTGCTTTGACTAATTTTCCTTTATATTTTTCCAACTTAATAAACCTTTAACTTATGTAACATCTACAATTAAATGTTAGAAAGAGTTTTTATTTATAACTTTGACTTAACTGAAAAATCAGTCAAAATTATTTATATAAATAATTTTTTCTATTCTAAATAATTTATCTATAAATCTATAATAAAATATTTATTTTTATTTTTAAATATTTTTTCTAAACATTCTTTTCAGAAATGCTCTTAGAAAACTTCATAAATTTAATAATATATTAGATGTAGAAAATCACTATTTTTAGTATCAGTATTGAGCCTTTGTAATTTATTTTAGAAAGGATTTGAAATATTAATATTTCTTAAATTATATATCTCCAAAAAAAAAATAGAAAGAAAAAAAAAATATATATATATATATATATAATTAAGTTGGTACTATTTAAAAAATATCAAATACATTTATATTTTTTTATTTTTATAATAAGTTACATGTAGAAATTATAATTCTTCTTGAGATAGTTAATTACCACACGACTTCTTAAAAGTATAATATTTTGTTTATTTATGTAATACACTTTAATACATTGTTTTTTTATAATTTTTTAAGGTAGGAAATACGATTATTATTTATAGATAAATATCTGAAAGAAATCCCTAAAACCTGTACTCACACTGCAAATTCATTATTTGAATATCAATGATAGTGGTCATTTAGGTTAAAAATAAAAAATAAAATAAAAAAGACAGTCACCATATTTGAAAAGGTTGAAACTTTTTTTAGTTTGCTTAACTTAATTTAGTTATTAAGAATGTATATTTTTTTTTCACGCTTAGAAATTAAATAGTCAATAAATGCTAGAAAGTTTAACTTAATAATTTCACTTTATTTTACTTTAAATTATTATAAAAGAAACTAGAAAAAAATATCTTCAATTATCATGAAAAATAATTTGACAGAAAATTGAATTTTATAAATAAAGCTCCTTTATGAATTATTATTTATCATATTTTGATTTTAGTGAAATCTTAATTTTTAATACAAAATTAGTAATGTAAAATGTTAAAAAAAAATTCTGTAATATTACTATAAAAAATTATAATAAAATATTTTTAATGGACAAAAATTCAACAAGATTTTTACTACATATGAGACAATAAATTAAGAAAGAAGAAAAATGTTATAAACATTATTTTTATTATATATTTTATCATCCTAATATTTTATCATTTAAAATTGTACTTAATAACTTGTTATATTTTCTTTCGATGATAAATATAATTAAAAAAATCAAACTAACATATCTTTAAAAATATTTTTTTTAAGAAAAATGTGAAGTATTTTGAAACATACCACTCTTCTTAAACCATAAACTTGAAAACATTGTACATAACTGTGCTAAAATTTGGTTCTAAATTTTCAATTTACACATTTCAAGTGTGTCAAAAAATTATTTAGACTATTCAAGAGTAAAAAAAGTAACAACTCTATTAGATTAATTAAGCTTGCATCTAAAATAAACATGTCAACATATGAAGATCTTTGAGTATAAGGTGGCTACATGTAAAACTTATTCGTACAAAAAAGACCATTTTATAAATATTTTGGGGGTTACGTGGACTAGACAACTTAAGTAAAAGTGACACGGATTCATGCTGACATCATAACATTAATTCTTGTAATATTAATTAAAAAAATAAAGTATTTAAGTGAGATTGCATGTGCTTGAATACTCACAACAAATTAGATTTTTTCACACTCGTGGCATTCTCATTGTGATAGGATAAGAGGTCGGTTATTCCATTAATGGACACATGTTGAACCCTATTGTGTTTATTATGCCAATAATTTTTTCATTAGTTGGAATCTTATTCAAGATCTTGTGAAAAAAATATAATCTAATTTTAATATGGTCTAAAGTCTATTATTATATAATATGTTAGTGGATTAAACATAAATATTTAACTTTATATTTTTTAAATGTTTTTATTTTTTTTAATATTAAATTTTAGTGTGAAGAATGTATCAAATATCTTACGTCAGATTACAAATCAAATTATAATATTTAAGAATATTTGAGGGATGATGAAAGAAAATGATAAGAATATGTTTTCTTCAAGCCTAACAACTATACAGACAATCAATATTTTGAAGACTAATTATTAAAATTTTGGGTTGAGAAGAGAAAATAATTCATGAAATTAGTGGTGCCACATATGTTCAAATTCCTATTAAATTGTCAACAAATAATAACATCATTTTAACTATTAACTATTATTTAAATTAAGTGGTACAACAAAATATCAATAATAGTAAATGCCTATTTTGTTTCTTAACTTTCTCTTCTTTTCATCATATCTTCTATACATTTATTTATTTCTTTCATAATTATCCAATACAATCCCACCATCTTCTATAGTCATTAAGTGGTCATCTTATTCAAATTTCAAACTTCTTTTATAAATTATTAAATGGTGAACATTTAACATATTTACACAAACGTTTTTTAGTATAAAAGTAATTTATATATTCTTTTCTTTAATATGTTTACACAAACATTTGTCCTTCGTAAGTATAAAACTAGTTTATATATTCCTTTCTTTTTAATTTATTAAGTATCTTTTAAAAATAAAATTATAATAAATAATTTTTTAAAAATAAATAATATTTAAGATATAAGAATTAATTCTTACCATCTTATTATTTCTTATTCTTAAATGTAAGAATAAATAAATTATTTTAGATTTTTTATATTAATTAGATAAATTGATTTAGAAAGTAGATACCTATTTGTACTAAAAACTGATGTATAAAATTTTCAATGTAAAAATTTTCTACTACTCTGAACGTCATTCATCATCGCAAACGCCACATTCATCATCGCTTCAAACCCCAAGCATCGAGTTGATGAAGTCCCTTTGACATTGATAAACTCTTCTGTGCTGACTTTGTCAATCAAAGAAAATAATATCGGTTTGAGATTCTGTAAACAGGAGTCTTATAACAGTAAATCTCCAAGAAGAATGAATGCGAGAGTGAAAATATTACGAAAAATACCTTTAAAAAAAATAATAATAAAATTGAAATAGTGAAGACCCCATGACAATAATATAACAATAGTAATAATAATAAAATATTAGGTTTCGAATTTCTTCTCACACGGGTAGAATGAGTGAAAAAAGATGACTAAAAATTTTAAAATAGAAATATTATATTAATTATCCGATGTTTATAAAGTTATCATCTCTCCATCCATAGTTCGCAACCAATGTTGTATGCATTATAAAATGCTCTACCCTGTTGTGATTTTAAAATCCTGCTATAAGAAGCCTCTACATTAATTAAAACTAGAATGTTTATTATTTGAGAAGGCATAAAAGAGGAAAGTTAGAATAGAACAGGGGAAGATTGCATTAGAACATGTAACGCAGAATTTACAAATTAAGAAAAATTTAATGTGGGTGCTGCTAAGAAACTTTTGGTCGGTGTTGGTAATTAACTCTTTTTCTCTCCATCTCCCATTTTTGGGTTTATTTTTTCCACCCCCATCCCCTTTTGTCCTTTGCAGAAACTAAGAATGCATCATTGTTCTCACTGCTGGAGTGTTTTGATTCCATTTGATTAATACAAACAAGTAGCTTCTTTTCTAAGAACCACTTGCCAGGATATAGATTAAATTTTAGCAATCTCAAAGGTTGCAATAGTCATAATGGTAAAAGAAGAGAACACATGCATGAGAAGGTGGGTGAATAATCCAAATATGGACAAACTGAAAGGGGAACTGGGCAGGATTTTGGCAAGCAAGTGCATGTGATGATATGCATGGAAATCCGGGTCGCAGTAAAGAAGGAGGAAATATTTATCTAAGAAAAGTAATAGAAAAAGGGGAACATTCCAAAGGGCTGGTCATGAAACCGTGCAATAATTTATTGCAGGTGACGCTATGCAAACACAGTGGCTCTGCCTCTGCACCCAACCATTTCTCTGCGCTGTTTATAATAAACGAGGCGAGGGGAAGGGGGTGGTGGTGAGCTTCGCTTAAAACTCGAACGCTTTGCTGCCATCTTTTTTCCTGCTTCCACAATGCACACTTGTTTGCTACTGTTTTTTTTTTTTTTTTTTTTTTTTTTTTTTTAAGGTAAAAAAGCACAACACTATTTCTTTTGCTTGTTACACACGGCTCTCTCTCTCCCTCTGTGTCCATTTTTTTTTTTCTTTTTTACCATAAACTGACTATTTCTAGTCGAGGTAAAAATTTTGGGATATATTTATGCAACAGTAAATAATGAGGATGATATAAACTCTAGGAAAAAAAAGAAAATTTTCTTCTTTCACACATCATGATACAAGATTGTTAAACCCTAAACCCTAAATGTAAAAAAATGAAAGATTATATCATATGTAAATGTTTTATTCGAATTACACCAGCTCAAAAAAGTGATTTCAGATCTTACATTAGAAAAATGACAATGACAAAAAATAATTATAAATATAAATATGATAATAATTTCGTAAAGAAATTAATACATTTTAGGATAGTAATTGAAATAATACCTGTTATTTTTTAATTATAAACTTAACATGTGTCATATTTTTGTCTTTCTTTTCATTAATGGCGTCACCATCTCTTCTATTTTAGTCATCTTTTTCTCTGACATCTTTCCTTGCAGTTAAGAGCAAAACTAGAAATTTTCGATAAAGAAGGTCAGATTAAATAATATATATGTTTACCAATTTTCAATAAATTGAAAGGATAAGTTAGACAAGATACCAAAATTGAGAGCAAGAATTAAAAATCAAGAAATTAAAGAGAGAAAAGATTCGAAAGACTAAAATATTGAAAGCAATAAAACATAAGGTACAGAATGCAAAAAAATAAAAATAAAGGGTTAGATAAAGGATAGAAGAGGAAAATCGAAGGGAAGATAGGGTAAGTAAAAGATCAAGGAGGATTAGGGGCATTGAGAGAAAGAAAGGGAAAATAGAAGAAATCAGGGTCAAAGTAAATTTAAAGAATAGAAAGATGAGGGAGAGATAAAAAGAAGTTATAGAATTAAGAAGAGTTATGGAATGGTTACAATTATGATTTGACACAAGTGATTATAATGTCATGTATGTAAATGAAACTACTTAAAAAAACGATTAATAGGGAAAAAATATTTTTATTATCTCTATTTTTATTTTTATTTTTTCTTCTTTTTAGCCATTACAAAGGATAATAAATATTAAAAAAATCAAATGAGTGGAAAATGGTTAATAAATTGTATTAAGAAACTTTCGTTCTACAGAACATTTCGAGCAAGAGAAAAATTATTTTAATGAAATTTTCTACAATTTGGATCATAATTTTTATGAACTTTTTGAATCAGTTTCTATTTTATCTTTGATAATTTACGTTTTCCAACAATTTATGTTTCCAACAATTACATTTTTAGTAATTTAATCATCTGCAATTTACATTTCCAATAATTTACAATGATGCATTTTAATTTTCGTCTATTGTTTTTAACTATTTCAATGAGTTTTTATTAAGTGGTTAAGTAATGTCTAAATTAATACTTAAAATCTAAATTTATAATCAAAATAATTTTATTAATATCTTTGTTAAATTAAACGGGGAAGGATTTACGATAAAAGTGGACTTTATATTAATTATTGAGTAAAACATTGGTCAATCTACTCACGATTCTAAATTTAATTAAGACACTTTATATATTGAAAAGTATTATTTGCTAGTTTAAACAAAAAAATCCACAAGTGACAAGTGGTTTGTATCAAACCCTTTTCACTAGAAACAAATTGACACACTTGGGGGACTCTAGTGTGATGTTATTCATTTTAAAATTTGACTAGTTTTAAAGAGTATTAGTTGATAGTGTATGAGATTAAGAAGTAGTAGAATTATCATGCCAAGTCAAAACGCACAGAGTTCTATACTTAGTTCTATAATGATGTCCAGTACAACACATATCAATATAAATCAAAACAATGAAGGACAAACCATTGGAATTGGAAGTGTAGTTATGAATCCAAAGATTGAAAGAAATATCTCAACTACCCAAAAGAACATAACTGAACAAAATATTCCAATTATTCACAATAGTAATTAGGGGTTGCCTGTAATGCAACCAGTAAGTAGTCCAATAACTACCTATGCAAGACCTCATATGAACACAAGAATGGAAAATTCACCTCTTACTTTGGGAGGAAATAATGTCAATGGGGCTAGTTCATCCATACAAAGAAATAATCAGGGTTTACCATTAGCTGAGAGATACCCTTGGGGTATGCCTTCGTGACAACCAACTCCTAATCTAGTAGAATGAACGGTCAAAACAAAAATCAAACCTGATTGGGTTTTGATAGAGAATTTGAAAGAAATAATCTTGATTTTAAGAATATAAGTATTGAGATATATAATAATTCTTTAGAAGTGATAAGACAACAGATGAACGATAACAATCATGAAATGGTAAATTTCTTGTCAGAACAAATGACTACAATCCTAAACCCTTTAGTCCAAGATACAGTTGATAGTTATCAAAGGTTAGCAGAACAAATAGCTAGAATCAGGGATGCTCTAGTTATTCCTCGATGAGAGAACTTAGATACTAATGGTCAAGTTGAGAATAATCAGAATGAAAATCAAGACCACAATAATAAAAAATCAAATAAGGACTACTCAAATGATTAGGAGAGGTCAAAATGTTGACCATATATTACAGGTGTGAAATAATATAAGGAGAGATAATGATTATTGAGGTAATATGGTGAATAATATGTATAATAAAAATAATGCACAACATAACCACGTAATGGGACAATGGAATAATCAACCAGATATCGAAATTGGACTATATAATCAGCCTTATTTTATTTCACCTTTTTTCGATTTTGTGCTTCAAGATGAATTGTCCAGAGGATGTAAAATACCAAAAATTCATAAAGTTCTCTAATGATGTTGGAGGATCCACTGTAGAACTCGTTGTTAGATATCATATTGAATGTGAGAACGTCTTAATAAATGAAATTTGAGAATAAATATTTTCTCAGTTTGTTAACAAAAAAAATGTTTTTACTTGGTCCATGATGCTTGTTAAGTGATAAAATTGATGTAATTATGCTTTTAATTGTTATTTAATCACTTAAATTATGCTGATTCTAATATATTTTTCTCCAAATATAGGATGAATTTGCAGAATACCTTGGTACAAGAACAAAAATCATAATTATTAAGATAATTGAAGAAAAATTGAAAGAAGGAAGAAGATTTTAAGCCTGAGATTCGCCCGAGCGAGACGGATGCTTGCTTGAGCGAAAATATGTTAAAGCTCTTTAGAAGTCACTCGCTCAAGTGAACATTTATTCGCTTGAGCGAAAACACGTTAAAGCTCTTGGGTATCTACTCGCTCAAGCGAACATCTCTCGCTTGAGCAAAAATCATCATTTTTTGCTTGAGTGAATGTTCCGCTTGAGCGAATGTTCCGCTTGAGCGAATGACGCGTGGCCTAAATTTTTCTATAAAAATATAAGATGCGTTTTGAGAAATAGTTTTAGGTTTTGAGAAGAGAGGCACGACTGCTACTCCAATTTTCACCCAATCTTCATTCATTCTTCATCTCTTCTTCATTTGGATCATTGTAATGACCATCATGAGTGACTAACTTCATTCTCTTAGGATTGGGTGCTTCCTTTGAACTCTTTTATATCTTGGTGATATTTTGAGATATTAATCTATGTTCTTGATGTTGTTATTCTTATCCTTTGTGTCTTTTAATGCTTTTATCCTTGATGTTCATATATATTGGAAAATATATATTGACATCCTTGATTAGGTTAAAAATATTTGCTACATTGATTGCTAGGAATGGTAATAGATGTATTAAGTGCTTAACACCCTAAACCTAATGCTGAAAAATCTATTAAATGTATGAGGAATCTATGTTTACAAGGTTTTCTTATGAATTTTATGTTTGAGGAATCAATGTGAATATAGGTGACATCAACATTGATAGGTTAATTGATGTTATTAGTTTGACCTAGCCATTATACAAAGGAGGGAAAAGGTATTAAGTCAATCCTAAGTTATTATATTCATCTTTTCTAAAAATACTTAATAGTTCTTTGCCATTTATTTTTAACCCACATATTTATGAAAAACCAATTTTGTGTCAATATACTTAATAAGCATATGACTTGAAATTTTCAGTGAAATCGTTCTTCGTGGGATCGACTTTTATTTAATTGAAATATTGTACTGCAATTGATAATATTGGTACGCTTGCCAAAAGACCAACAAGTATTTACTGCGCCGTTGTCGGGGAATGACGTTCCTTGGAAATTCTTTGTTTAACTTATTAAGCATTTGAATAATTTATTCTTAGTTATTTTAAATTTATTCTTTTTATTTTATTTATTCATTGTCCTGTGCTAATTCTTGCTTGAGTTTCTCTTTTATTTATGCTTTTAAGAGGACAAGTATCTATAGATCAGTTAGAATTTGATCCTAACATTGAAAATGCTACTCGGAGGAACCGTGATAAAAGAAGAAAGGAAACTCAAGAACAAGCAACAGGAGAATCAGTTAACTATTCTCCCACACTCAACTTACCAGACCCAATCATAGAAGACATGGAGGGTGGAGGAGCAAACCCACCTAGAAGAACACTTGGAGATTATGCTATGCAACAAGGTCAAGGTCTGATACACTTCTCCAGCATTGCAATACCAACCAACCAGTCTTTGAAGATGAAACCAGCCTTCTTAAGCTTGTTTAGTGCTCATCAATTCACCGGAATGGATCATGAAGATCCCTATATTCATTTGTCCACTTTTTATGAGTTGATTGACACTATGGGGTTTAAAGAAGAAGATATTGAATATGCATACTTGAGATTATTTCCTTTTTCACTGGCTGGCAGGGCAAAGGAGTGGTTAAAAACACATCTTAATAAGAGTTTGACTACCTAGGGTAATGTAGAAAATAAGTTTCTGAACAGATTTTTTCCACCATCCCGCTACATCAAGACAAAATCCAACATTTCTACTTTTAGACAAGGAGCGG